CGACAAACCCAAACCACCAGGCCACATCTGTTTCTGATCAGGAACCTTTGGGTTTTCTCCTCTGAGTTCCATTACTCTGAAATCAGAGGCTCCCAAACTTACTTGGCCTACTGCTCCCTTTAAAAAAAAATTATTAAGCACCCCTCTGAAAATCTACTTTCTTTAATGTTTTTTCTTAATTTGCATCATTTCAAAAAAATATAAAATATTTTTAAATAATATCTTAAATTTAATAATTTATTGTAAACGTGTGGGTTTTTTCCTGCATTGAAATTTTGATGACACAATATTGTATTATGTAACCATATAGTATCATATTGTAAACAAGTCAGGACATGCACATATTCCTATTGATGCATCCTGGACTTCCTGACAACACATGACACACCTGCCAACGCTTGCTTATTAAGACCTGTCAGCAGACTTGACCACTGATTGGTTAAAATTTATATTAATTTCCAAATAAACACACAAAATACAAGCACATACAACTTTAACTCTGTTCTACAACAGATGAAACATGTAAGAACGGTTCTTCACAATTTTCTAATCTTCTCTTATTTCCTTACGCTCTCACCAGCGGCCCCCTTATTTTTATTTAGGGCCCCCAACTGCACCCATGGCTACTTCACCCTCTCACTCCCCCATCATTCCAGCGCGCCCCCCCCCGGGGGGCTATATGGAGTCCACTTTGGGAACCTATGCTCTGAAATTGTTTTTGGCCACAATCAGGTATCAAAAAGGCCAAATCTATATGACAATATAAATGTAATCTAAAACACAACACATACAACCAAGTTGTTAGAAAAACAAATGCTTTGTTTTGATAACATAATATTTGAATAAGTCAAGTCAGGTCAACAAATACTTTGTTAAGGCACAATGCTAATCACTGAGCACCCAAAGAAAAGCAAAAACCAGTTCTTACTCTCAAGGATCTCAGTCTAATGTGGAAGACAACATGTAATCAACTACATATACAATCAAAATATGGAGAAGACTGGAAATAATTTTAGAGGAAAGGCATTAGCTTTAAGGGGGAATAAAGGAAGAAGGTATGATTTTTAACGGGAGCCAGGATATGAAAAGGAAGAGCACTTCATACAGTGAATGACAGCCAGTGAAAATGCATTGTTTAGACTGGTGCAGACCAGCATTGCTGGATCAGAGAATACATGGAAGAAAGTATAAAAAGAGAAAAGGCAGGAGGGGGCCAGTTTATAAGGGCTTTAAAAAACTAAACACAAGATTTTATATTTGATCCTGGAGGTTATAGAGAGATTCCGGACTTGACTGAATGAGAGGTTGGGACAGATGGGGGTGGAGTGAGGGTGGTAATGAAAAGGTAGTGAAAGTGCAGGCCAGACCTGCATGTTAGGAAGATCAATTCAGCACATGAGTGGAGAATGTGAGGGACCAAGGAAAAACATCAGGAAGGGAGAGTAACCCAGAGGCTTGCGCAGCAATGTAGGTGTAGGACCAAGAAGGCAATAGCGTCCGAGAAAAGACGTTATCAAAGATATTAAAAAGATAGGACTGACAGGATTTAGCAATTGATCAGATACGTGGGACAAGAATGAAGAGTCAAGGATGACCCTAGCTTGTGAACTATGAATAGTTACTATGAAAATGGTGGTACTCTGAGCAGAAATAGGGAGGAAGTTCATAAGGGGGAGGGTTTAGGATGAAAGATAATGGGTTCAATTTTGAACTTAATATATCTAGGGAACATGCAGTTCAAGATGTCTAATAAGCATCTGGAGATGTAAGAGTTGAGGCCAGGAGAGAGGTTAGGGCTAGACACATCATCTGCACAAAGATTACTGATAATCGACTCTTTGGGAACTGACAAGTTCGCCAAGTCAAGACAGAGCCTTGGGGATATTCACAGTTAGTAGCAGTGACCTAGGTGAAGAATCAACAAGGGTGAATGGAGAAGGAATAAGGAAAACCAGGAGAGTACAATATAATGGAGGTGGGGGGGGGAGACATAATGAGAAAAGGGTGCTCTACAGTGGCAAGGACTAAAGAAGGGTTAAGAATAATGAGAACTGATATAAAGCCATTTGATTTGGAAACTGTAGCAGTCACTGATAACTCTGAACATTTGTTTCATTTGAACAATGAAGTCAGAAGCCAGAAAGCTGAGAGTTAAAAAGAGAGTTAAAGAAAAGGAAATAGAGGCACAGATTGTGGATGGCCTTCTCCAGAAGCTTAGTCACAATGGGAGGAGAAACAGAGCAGGGATAGAGCAAGGGACGGGCTATTCTTAGGACAGGAAGACACAGGCATGTTTGTAAGGAGTTTATAAGTAGCCAGTAGAAAGGGTGAAACTACAGACTTGTAAGGTGGCGACAATGATAGGGAGGCCACAAAAGATGTGATGGAACAAAAAGTTACTATTAAATAAAATCCAAAGTAGAAACAATATCTAGAACAAACCAGAACTCTCTCTCCACATATTTCCCTCACTGTATACCATTCCAACAGTCATCCCATCCCTGTTACAGCCTTAGGAATCAGAAGAGTCGCTCTGTCCCTTTCTTCTACTGGTTTTTTTTTCCTCATAAAACCTGCCTCTTCTCTCAGAATCAGAAGGTGGTTTTGTGTTCACTTTTCAGCCTTGACTCATCTGACTCCTCACTACTTGTTGGGTGCCCCCACATTTTAGAGGGTGGGTTTGTTCTCTTGGGGTTTTTTAGAGGCTAAACAGGGTCCTAGGTTTTGTGCTCTCCATCCCTCAGGCTTTTAATAAGCTACCAGGTTAGATCTTTGCAATTCCTACAAATGTAAGTAAAATGAAAGAGCAGCAGATCTTCACTAATTTTAAGAATACAGTCAGTCAAGGCAGCTAGGTGGCGCAGTAGATAGAGTTCTGACCTTGGAGTCAGGAGGACCTGAGCGAGTTCAAATCCTACCTCAGACACTTGACACTGACTAGCTGTGTAACCCTGGGCAAGTCACTTAACCCCGACTGCCTCACCCAAAAAAGGGAAAAAAAAAGGAATACAGTCAGTGAAATGAGAAAATTGCCAAGAGAAGATTTTGCAGGAATGCCAATAAAACATGAGAGAAAGAAAGCAGAGGGAGCAGAAGGAGAAGGATGGAAAAAACACTATTATATAAATACGATTTTTCAGATAAAGGCATAACAAACCCTAACAGACATAAGCATATCGGGATTTGTAGAGAAGCTAAGCCTAATCTGAAAGCAAAAGAGGTAATTTATCAACATGTGTCCTAACCATGGAACTCAAGGTTTGCATACAAAGGCCCTTCTGTGAACATTTGTGTGAGTGATCTGCTGAGGCTCTTTTGGGTCGACAGAAACGAAGAGCATCTTGCTCTTCTAAACTCCATCCTGCCCTATTTGGACACAGGCATATAAGGTCAGAGTACTAGTTATCTCACAACCTCTGTGAAAAATGTTAACATTTATTCAAACATTTTACCTATTTTCCCTAAGGTTTCCCTAAGCCAGGGAAAGTTTCCAGTCCTGAGGATAAAAAGCAATTCTTTCAAAAGTAGGTTATTTGACTTTTAAGAAGCTAATGGAAATTTAACAAATTTAGGTTAGTATGTTGTTCTTTTATATAATTTATTTCTATGGTCCATGAAACAAAGAATAATTTCCAAAAATCTGTATTACAAGTAAAAATCCAAGACGCAGAATTAGAAGTCTTGATAAAAAATAATAAACTATAGATTTTATTAAGTTTACAAAAATAAAAATATTTAAAAATGATCTGTTTCTTTGATATTCTCATTTTATATATAAATTGCAATCTTCAAATTACCAATTTTATTAAATCTATTTGTAATTCAATCAAAACTCTAAGTGACCAGTTAAGAAACAAATAAATAATTGATTGAATATAGTACTGTTTTGTTGCATAAACTGTTGACAATACATTTCTCAATAAAGAAAAATTGAATTATAGCCCAAGGGTAGTTTAATTTGGTACAAATTTTGAATAATGTCAAATGTACTTCCAAAACAGATGCTTAGAGACTCTATAAGGACACTAGGCTCAATCAGAAGCCAGATTAAAGTTCCATCTGGAAACTAATAAGAAATTCACAGTTCCATTACAATTACCAAAGTTACCAATATAATGTATAACAGGAGTACAGCACAGAACTTCTTAGAAAAGTCAACAGGCCTGCCCATCCCTCAAAATAGACAATCGATTTATAAAAGAATCATCTTCTGGAAAAACAATCTATAAATATTCAAATTCTTATGTTCATTATAAGAAAACTTAAGTTTACATAATTATTTGAATTTTCCATACTTGATTTTTTCCTAGATATTCAAATAATATTTTGCTTGCTAATACTTTGTAACAAGGATAGCATGTCACAGGATTAAAAAAAAGAAATTTCCTCCCAAACTCTCACCCATTCTACTGCTGATAAAAGCAATACCTGGTTACCTCACTCCTCTCACTTTATTGAAACCCAGTTTCACATCTTATGACATGAATCTCTTAAATTCTGTGACTAGAAATTACCAGTGAATCAAAAAAATTCAGAGGTGGAAAAGTCCTTCAAGGTTGTCTACTTCAACTTCTGGGCAAAGCCTTGTCCAAATGAGGAAGCTCATCCTAGGCTGGATGGGCTGCTCTGGGAATATACAGCAATCTGATTGTACAGCTGGGATGAGGACCTGCACCCAGGGCCTCCAGCTTACTATTCTTTCTATTATAGAAAGTGGCTTCAGAGCCATAAATACAAATCAAGGTTCCCAAAGATAACAAACGAAAACTAAACAGAAAACATAGTTAAGAACATAAAAATTAACATTATTAATGTTTGCACAGTATTCATATATGGTAAGTATGTGTGAACCTTGCCTCTGCTATTGATTACCTGTGTGAATTTTGGAAAGTCAGTTAACCTATAAGAATGAATCAAGGAAATGCTCCACACAGCATCTTAAATACTGAGTAATAAATATCAGACATGGAACAAATTTAAAATAAAGAGTTACATCTTACCAGAGAAGAAGGAGTAAACTGCTCACTTTTAGAAGAAAAGTAAATTCTTCAGGCCAACAGAACATCAGTTTTCCAGGAAATTCTGCGATACACTAGCAAAAGAACAAATTTCCAAAATGAAAAACAATTTTTCCTTGCTAGTAAATCACGAACATTTAACATTCTATTTATAAATTAACAGTAAATGTTAACACAAAAATTTTAAGTACTTTCTTGTGACAGTTCCATTACACCTGAGAAAGAAGTCTTCGAAGATTAAGGACAAATTCAATCCAACTCAGCTTGCCTACCATATCCACAGTATTTTAGTGCTGGGTCCCAGGGATACAAAGATAGAATAAATCACAGGCCCTTGCCCTTAAAGGGCTTATATCTGGGTTGAGGTGGGGTTAAGAAGGAGAAGAGTGCTAAAAATAAGTACACAGATAATGATATATAACCAGCCATCTGTACACTAACAGAAGGAGGGATGGAATGACAACAGGGAGGAAGTGAGGGAAGGAGGGAAGGAGGAAGGGAGGGAAGGAGGAAGGGAGGGGAGGAAGAAGGGAGGGGAGGAAGGAAGGTGGGAAGAAGGGGGAGGGAGGGAGGGACGAAGGGAGGGAGGGAGGAAAGAAGGAAGGAAGGAAGGGAGGGAGGGAGGGAGGGAGGGAGGAGGGAGGGAGGGAGGGAGGAAGGAAGGAAGGAAGGAAGGAAGGAAGGAAGGAAGGAAGGAGGAAGGAAGGAAGGAAGGAAGGAAGGAAGGAAGGAAGGAAGGAAGGAAGGAAGGAAGGAAGGAAGGAAGGAAGGAAGGAAAGAGAAGAGGGAGGAAAGGCTCTTAAAAAGTGAGAGGCATCATGGCACAGTGAACAGAGGATCCTTCCCAAAGGTTCATAAGGGATTGAGTTTCCACCCTAGATTTCCCTAGACAGAAGAGATCAAAGGATCTGGGCCCACACCCCATTCTCTCCCATCTGAATCCAGAAATAGATCAAAATAAAAATAAGAAAGATGATGCACTGAAACAACCTCAGACCACTCAGAAACAACCAGTAAAAGAACAGCTGAGTCTCAATGACCAGATCTAATAATGCATTGTCACTAATTAGTTCACTGGGTGGAAGGAAGAGATATTCTAATTAATTGTACAGTCAATTCAATAAGTGAAGCAGTCACTAAGCACTTGTTTAGTGTGCATGACATGCCAGGCACTATGCTCAGTGCTAGGAATTCTAGGAAAGGTTAAAAACAACCCTTGTCCTCAAGGAGCTTGCAATCTAATAGAGAAACAATATATAAACAAATATATATGAAGCAAGCTATATACAGGATAAACAGGATATAATTTTTAAAAGGACAGGAACTAGAATTTATAAAAGCGTTAGGAAAGGCTTCCTGCAGAAGGCAGAGTTTTAGATGGGCCTTAAAGGAAGCCAGTGAAACCAGCAGGCAGAGCACAGGAGGGGGAAAGCCTGAGAAAATGCTCAGAGCCAAAAGCTGGAACAGCCAGAAGGCCAGTGTGACAGGATTGAAGAATATGTATTGGGGAGTTAAGGTACAAAGAGACTGGAAAGGTTAGGGGGTTAGGGGGGTTAGGCTTTGAATGCCAAACAGAGCAATTTGTATTTGATCCTAGGGGCCATTGGGAGCCACTGGGGTTTACAGGGAATGGAAGGAATGACTGACCTGTGCTTTCAGAAACTTACTTAAAACCAGTATACATAAAGTACTTACTATGGATCAGACACTGTGCTACAAACTGGAGGTGATAATAATAGATAGCGTTTATATAGCACTTGAAGGTTTGCAAATCACTTATGGATTACCTCATTTGATCCTCACAAAAACCTTGGGAGATAGGTGCTATGATCATCCCCATGATTTCTTACTCTCTGGACTACTTTTCTGTTCCTGCCAAAATCCTCTAGTTGCACTGGCAGCGACTCTCTGCCTACAGGGTCCTCTTCTGATTGGGGAGGTCCTGCCCAGAACCACCTTTGGAGGAAGTAGCCATGCTCACCTCTAATCCGCTCAGCTTCCGACTCTCCGTTTACTTTTCTATCTTACCCCCCTCACTCCTCCATGCAGGTATCATCTCCCTTAGCTGCCTTTTATGTGTGGTCTTCCCCCACTGAAATGTAAGCACCTTGAGGTCAGGCACTGTCTTTCTGTATGACAGTATTTGTCTTGACTGTGCTTCGCAGTGTCTGGCACAAAGCAACCACTTTAAAAAGCCTTTATTAATTTAAAATAATTCTACAGATCATGAAAGTGAGGCTCTGAGAGGTTAAGTGATTTGCTCAGGGTCACACAACTAGTCCGAGGCAGCAATTACACTCAAGTCTTCTTGACTCCAACACTCTATCCACTGTGACAAACAGACATCCCAAGTACAGGCAAGTTTAAATTATGATGAAGAAGACAGCAAACACAGGGAGGAATGCCACTAGGTAAACAGGAATTTTGATGGGATCCTAAAGCAATAGGACACTAATGGATTTTATGGGTCATGTGAGCAACAAGATGGAGGACTAGACATCTTCTCTGATCCCTACGACTACTCAGACAAGTCCAAAACAGAAATTATACATCCAAAGTAAAGTCATTTCAGCTGTCTCCAGGGTCTAGGGCACCCAGAAGCCAAAAGAAGGTCAGAAACAAATCAAAACCCAAGAACTGACACTTCTTGACCCTGAGCTCAGCACCCCTCCTCCACCTTCCATGCTGCTAGCAGATTAGAGGACACAACACAGGGTTCCAACAAAACCCACCCATACACGCTGGCTTCCCCTCCCTCAAGACCCTAGCTCCAGACTGGAAGTTTGGGCTCCAGCCCTTCCAGAGTTAGAACCCGCTGTGGCCTGCAACCCAGAAACTGCTTGGTTGGTTACTGTCTTTCATTCTTGGAAGAAGACCTAAAGACATCACTATGTTGGGGTCAGGAAACAGTGAGTCTGACTGTGGTTGATGAGACCAATATGAGCTCAGAAGGCTCTCCCCCAGGTTGGGCACAAATAGTCAACAGGAAGACGTGGAGTGGAGAAGCCTCTATATTTGCACATCTCACATTTTTTTTTAAGCTACTGAAATTCTGCTTTGCTCATAGAGCACAATGCCTTTTTTTATTAATTTATTTTAATTTATCAACAATCACTTCCATAAACTTCTGAGTTTTAAATTTTTCTCCCCCTCCCTCCCTGCCTCCATCCCCAAGATGGCAAGCAATCTGATATGGAATGCCTTCTTTGACACAAGCACACCATGCTGGGCAGTCCTTTGCCAGCATCTCCTATGTCACATAATCAATTCCAAAGGTCTTCAGAGAGAGCTTGAGAATGTCCTTGTATCACTTCTGACCACCATGTGAGCACCTGCTTTGTGTGTGATCTCTGTAAAATAGTCTTATAGGCAAAGGTACTTTGGCATTCAAACAATGTGGAGTTATGCTCTCTGCAGTACAGTTTGAATGTTTGGCAGTTTAGTTTGAGAAAAGACCTCAATGTCCAGTATTTTATCTTGCCACGTGATCTTCAGAATCTTCCTAAAACAATTCAAATGCAGGCATTTCTGTTTCCGGGCATGGCACTGCTATACTATCTAGGTTTCCCAGTCATGCAACAATGAGGTCAGCACAACACTCCGTAGACCTTCATTTTGGGAAGCAGTCTAATACCTCTTCTCTCCCACACTTTCTTTCAAAGAGACTCCCAAACACTGACCTAGCTCTGGCAATGTGTACATCAACCCTCTTCTTCTATGTGGACATCCCTGAAAAGTATACAGTCGAGGTAAGTGAATTTATCCACAGTATTCAAAATTTCTCTGTTTGCTGTAACTGACTATTCTATATGTGGATGGTGTAGTGCTGGCTACTAAAGAACCTGTGTTCTCTTGGTGTTGTTAGGCCAAAATTAGCACAAGCAGCAGAAAATTGAGTCACACTTTGTTGCATCTCAGATTCAGAGGCTGCACTGAGTGCACAATCATCTGCAAACAAAAAAATCATGCACCAACTCTCCCTCTACTTTAGTCTTGGCTTATAGCCTTTTCAAGTTAAATACCATCAGTGTGGTAGCTGACTTGGTTAAAGGAGTCTGACAACTTTGCTGAAAATACCATGCTAACAAGCATGGGAGCAAGCAAGCATACAGCCTTGCTTCACTCCACTGGTGACTAGGAAAGCATGAGGGCATCATCCATTATCAAGAACTCAGGCATGTAGCCATCATGAAATTGATGTACAATTAATGAACTTCTGAACTTCTTTAGGCAACAAAATGTTGAGAAAATTTTTCACAAACCCTCACAACTGACAGTATCAAAGGCCTTGAAGTACCAGAAAGTTCTAAATCTCAGAAGTACCAGAGCTACAAAGATCTGAATTCTGGGTGCCAGGTCAAAGAACTGAGGAAGAGAGGGAGTGGGATAAGTCAACTGGGACAGGACACCGTAAGTAAGGAAGCCTGTGCAGTATACCACCAACCCTGAGAGAGAAAGAGTGTAGCATTCGGCTTAGATAGTTTTGAGTTTTGACCACCCAAAAGTCAGCTGGGGCAAAGATCTATGCTGGTGAACAGTGAATTGTCCAGTGTGGGAAGAGGCTCAGACACTTTGAGATCCAGCCTTCAAGGAAACCACAATCAGAATGGAGGATGTCAGAAGTAAGAGATAAGGTGAACGGGGGGGGGGGGGCGGGAAGAACAACTGAAATTACTGAAGATTTCAGGAAGAAAATTCAAAGATCTTAAACACAGACAAATAAAGAGGGAAAAATAATAACAACAGAAGGAAATATGGCCCTCCATATCTAGTAAATGAGTCGGGCATCTGTAAATAAATACATAATAAATATAATAAATAATAATACATAACAATAAATACATAATAAATGCAATAAAGGAAATGATCCAAAACTTGATGAGACAGAGGACCCTGTGGAAAGTAAGAACGTGGAACCACAATATGCTGTGGTTTAAAAGAGAAATTAGAAATTAGGAGCAGAATTTGTATCCTGAAAAGCAAAAATAATAAGAACAGAAAAATTAAAATTTGCAATGGCAAGCCAAACCAAGGAAACAAAAAAGTGAATAACAGACTGGGAATGCAAATACAT